AAAAACCAATCTGCACTTTCATCATGTAATTTATACCAGCAAAAATACCGAAATTCAATTTTCGATGTAAACTCGTAAAACATCTTAAAGTAAAATATTTTGGCTTATATCATATTTTAAGTCAAATTTCGTTAAACTTTAACGTATATTTGTTGTTTCAATATTACTCAGCATCTATCCCATACAAATGATATACTTCATGTTTTATGATCATATTAATTACAGTTCCTATGACATAATCAATACTTAAGGCAAAGAAAGATAAAACACTTATTAGATATAATGAAGCAATATTTACTATCAGATTACTGAAGGCAAGTTTTTCTTTTCTTCTTTCATAACAAAACGAGTTCAAAATATTCAAAAAGCAGTCCCTACCTTGTTTGTCACGCAGCAGAAATACGGTGATAAATACTGTAAAATCAGTCGTTAGTCGCACACCACATGTAAACTATCACTTGAGTCGTGAATCCCTTTACTTTTCTCAAAATCGTAGTACATTGTTGCCATATTTGATTTTCTTCCACATTGAGCTTATCTGGAGGTACGTAACTTTAATTAAAGAAACAGTATATTTCTCATCTTTAAATGGAGGAATAAACAATTAAACATAACGTCAGATGTGCAAAATTAATATTTTATCTAAATTGTCATATAACTTATAAATTTGTAATATTTATAACCAGTTTGTAAATTTGAAATTGTTTTCTTTAAGACTGTGGCTCATTATACGCCCTAAGAATTTTATTTATTTCTGCCATTTCATGCCATACAATTATCATTTTGATATAAAATTTGATTTTAATTAGTCTCAAAGCACCAAAGATGGCTCTGCACGCCTTAAACAATTTTTCATTTTAAATTTTACCTATTTATTAACATTTATAAGAAAAGACATAAAATAAATTCATGGCATTTGCTGTTAGACGAAATATATTTGCATTAACTTTTTATGAGTAAATTTTTGTGTAGAACTTGTGATATATGCTGAACGCAATGATAAGTAGGTATTTAATAAATGCTCTAGGTAAAAAGAAACTTTTGCGTATTAAAATCTGCAACATTTGATAAACCTGAATTAGATTTTGCAATTGTTTGTTAACACGTACAAGTAGACACAGGACTTGAAACTTATTTCGAGACATAGACTACGTCTGTCGGTGAACATCAAGTTATTTAATTAAATATTATAAAACAATGTTTCGTAAAATAAAGAAGGAAACGTAAAATGATTAACAATATTTAGTACTATAAAACGTGATATTAAAACCGTAAAAGGTCTGGAACAAAAATCATTGCAACTGAAGTTAAATTATCAATGCAATACCTTGATTTTTCTATAAAATTTACTTCACATTCGTTTTTTTCTGAATCAAAACATTTGTGTATGTACTTTTGTCATGAATTTCATACAAATATGCATTGTAGATAAAGCACTTTAAATTCACATAAAGTCAGCCAAATTTTTTTAGACGAAAACGAAATTTGAGGAACAACAATTTAAGGAAAAACAAGACAATGTAAGATGTTTAGTATAGCACGGGTCAGATAGAATTGTTAGAAGTGCAGGTATCAATAGTTTATTTTTTGCTTTTATACACAATGTTATCTTGATTACTAGTCATTTTTATTCCTTTGGGAAATCTGAACAATGGTCAAATTTCATCTTCATCATCATAAAGAAATATGTCTATGTCTACTGTTTATTATATTAATGTGAGTATAAATAAGGCATATCTAGCAGATATATCATTTTTCACAAAACTACACACATCTTAACATTTATATTTCTTAACCTGACGGTCTGATGTAATGTGAATAATGTTTATTATGATTATAGTTTTCAATTCATCAATCATGCTTACATTTTTGTATTCTTGGCAAAATTATTGACATTATTTTTGAAGTTTTGACCACTGGTGTTGCCCTTAGTTTGTAACACCAGATACATGTCCTGTTGCGGCGCCATATAACCTAAATTGTTTCGATGCGATGAAGAACCACAAGCAAATTATCATTCAATACACTAATTATATAACAAACTTCTGTTTCATTTCCGGTTATACCATAATACCCATATTTCACCGCATGTTATCATATCAGATTCACTGAAGAGCCGAGAAGACCAGCGAAATTATGAACGTTTCAAATGTTGGTAAGTTTGAGCCAAATTTCAAGTATTATTGTAAATAATGGTCATTTCTCAGAACCTTTTACCATAGAAAGGGGTGTTCGACAAGGATGTCCTTTATCATCATCATTATTCATCGTTTGTTTAGAAATTTTATCCAATTACATAGAAAAAGATAGTTAAATAAAAGGAATAAAAGTTAAGGACAAAGAAATAAAACAATCCTTCTTTGCAGATGATGTAACTTTCGCAAACGATGGTTCAGTTAAGTCTTTCGAAAAACTTGTCTATGTGATATCAGAATTTAGAAAATTTTCCGGTTTAAACCTTAATTCAAAGAAATCAACAATATTACGAGTCGGGTCATTTAAAGATACTAACATGGGATATTGTAAAAATAGAAAATTTAAGTGGACATCTGATTCAGCAAAAACATTAGGCTTTTTTATTTTCGTCAGATTACAAGAAAAATACAAACATAAATTTAGATCATAAACTTCAACATTTTTTCAATTGCTTAAAGCAATGGCAACACAGAAAGCTTACGTTAATGGGAAAAGTAATAGTGATAAAAACTTTTGCATTGCCAAAATTAATATATCCTTTTTCAGTTTTAGCAAACCCATCCAATGATAAGATGAAAGAAATAACTTAAGCGATGTTTCACTTTCTATGGGCAGGAAAACCAGAAAAAATAAAACGCAAAACTTTAAAACTTAATATAAAAAATGGTGGACTAAAAATGATAGACATTACATATTATCTTAATGCAGTAAAAGCAAGCTGGGTTAAAAGGTATATAAACAAAGATAATGAGAGTTCATGGAAACTTTTTGTAAAACACAAGATAAAGCAAAATGGTAATGATTTTATCTTCCAATGTAATCTTTCAAAAAATGATATCAATAATTTATATCCACATAATTCGTTCATGAATAATGTTCTTTCGTCTTGGTTTCACATTCAGCATGAGGACAATAAAAACAAAGATAATGTTAAAGACATAGTATGGAATAATTCTAGCATTAAAATTGACAACAAACTGGTTTATTATAAAACATGGCATGATAAAGGCATACTTTGTATAGAACATCTTTATGATTATAGGAGAAAAGCCTTTTATAAATATGATGATTTTAAAGAAATTTACGGAATAGAAAATGCTGATTATTTAAGATACTTTATGCTAATAAACAATATACCAAAACAATACCTTGAGAAACTAAAAAATAACACAACTTATATGGAAGAACAAGATACGCTTCTCTATAAAATTCAAAAATCCAAAACAATAAATAAACTTTTATATAATATCCAACTTGAAAATGATGAGAAGGAAAAAAATAAAAATGAAGAGTTATGGGAAAAAGAAATAGATATAGAATTGAATTGGATAAAGATATACACTATACCACTACAATGTACTATAGATGTGACATTAAGAAATTTTCAGTATAAGTTCATCCATAGACTTACTGCAACAAACACTATGCTTTTCAAATATAATCTATGCAATTCAAATTTGTGTGATTTTTGCTGCAGTAGTTTAGAAACACTTCATCATCTATTTTGGGAATGTAATATTGTGCAAAATCTATGGTCAAACTTGCATTCCTTTCTCTTATCCATTAATCTTCATTTTTCATACAGTAAAGAAACAGTGTTTTTTGGAGAACTTACAACCAATATAAATAGTAATGTAGTAAATTATATCATTATTCTAATGAAATATTACATTTTAAAAATGAAATATCAAGGAAGAAATCCCACTTTTGATATTTTTAAAAACTTTTTGCTGTTAAGGATACAGATTGAAGAAGCAATTGCACTGTTAAATGATAAAATTGAATCGTACAAACAAAAATGGAGTAAATTATCTAACATTTTAACAAACAATACTGATGACTAAAACAATAATATTATGTAAATTAAACGTATAAACCATAAAACGTAAAAAATTAAATGAAACTGATTCACTTGTCTTTTTTTTCCCTCCTGTCTTGTGTGTGTGTGGTGTGTGTGTGTTTTGTTTAGTGTAAGAATGATAGTTTTTTAAGTTCTTTCTGAATTTTTTGAAAGTTTTGTTGTTTTTTTCTGTGTTGAATTTCTATGTAAATGTGAATGATTGTGTTTATATGTTTTTGAAAAATAAAATAAATGAAAAGAAAAGTTTGAGCCAAACATGCAGACCCATATGGAATTTCCGTAGCTTTTACGAAAAACAAAGGCAGTCGTCTTTGATGTTATTTTTATCAACGTCACCTAAACCGGCTTTATTACTTGAAGGCAATTCCCTATACAGACGCTAAACTTCACCGCTGCTTGGATTTTTGCTTCATGGACAGATCCATCGTATGTCTAAAAATTTGCAGTGAGTAATGTCAAACAAAACGGAATCATTAACAAACGGCAAAATTGGAATGTATTGTTTTTAAAAAAGAGAATGAATTAACAACAAACAAACACAAATAACAACAACAGCATATATTAATATTCATGAAAAAATATTTTCAAGAATTAAAGTGTTTGCCTGTATTCTATTCTTTTTCCGAAATTGCTAAGAGCATTCTTATCGTTATATTAAATAGCATTGCAATATATTTTTATATTATATAGTACTTATGTAATATATTATTATTGTTTGACACAGATATGCTACATTTGATAAGATTTGTATGTTATCTCAGCGAAACATTAGGTTTACAGACGCTAATAATGTGATTTTAATGCAATGTCAAATGTTTTGATTTAACAAAGATGTAACGCAACAGCACAATTCTCTCAAACAGAGATACAAATTTCTTATTCCAGTGTTCTTAAAGCTATCGGAAAACAAAGACACATGCCTAGTACGTTCAACTGGTGATGCCTCGAATGAGTCGTTAAGAGGCAGAACTTTCTTAGCTTTGAAGTGCTACCAGTGCTTTAGGAAACCAACGGATTATGGAATCTCTTATGGATAAATATTCCCTAAGTAACACTTCTTTTAATGGAACTTTAAATGAAACATTATTGCGTGCATTGTTAGAGGATCATTTCCTAGATCACAAGGATAAAGACGAAAGTGTTGCTCTGGGATTAGTGATTTTATATGTTCCAACATTTTTAGCAGGATTTGTTGGCAATAGTTTATTAGCGATTGTCATATTGGCTCGAAGGAGGTTTAGGAATGTTACTAATTTTTTACTCTGTAACCTGGCAATGGCAGACCTTTCAGGTAATAACTTAAAAATGTATTGTGCTTTGGAACAATTTTTTTGGCAATTACTATCAAAAATCATTATTTGAATAAGTCATTTTAATGTAAACATTCGATTGTAATAATTTGATTTTTTCTTTTGCTATAATGGTTTAACTAAGGGATTCTTCCCGCAATCTTTTATAATTAAATTGATCATGATAAAATCGTTTTATATACCGTCTGATAAGCTTTTACGACAAGGTCCCTTGATTGAAAATTTATACCTACAAACAAATTCCAGCAAACCCAGACGAGCTAATGAAATGTAAAACAGATTTGGTTGCTTTTAAAAAGATATATCTTTATATTTTTTAACCCTTCTTGTATAAAAATAGGAAACTGATTGCTTTCAATGAATAAGTTATTTTATTAAACCGTAACAGATAATGAAGCGACTTTAAATATTATATGCAGGTAAATTTAATAAATTTCTTTCATCTTTTACTTGATAACATATTTAAGGAATCTGATAACTCAACATTAATAAGCAATTTAATAAATCGCCGTCTTTAATTCTCTTGATGTATCATCAGATCAAAGAATCTTTAAAGAAAAATAATTTATGTTTCAAAACACCTGACTAATTTACTGATTTATATAGCATTTTAAGTCAGGAAAGGCATACCATAAAAAAAACAAAACAAAACAAAAAACAGTGAAAGCAATGCAAATTTATACAAGCAAAGACTTTCATGAACTACATTCAAAAGGTATTTTATAAATATGACATACTATTTTGAAAATCACCCTGTAAAGAAAATAAGCCCATTAACCAATAATATAGTCGCACATAATTTATTGACGTCAAAAGTCATTCATAAACTCGCTGATACCAAACTTCTATTTTAAGCTATAGTTGAACTTGAATTGTGTTAGAATATATAAAATTGTACCTTAGTTTTGATATTTTATGATTAATGAAGTTAGGTTTTACTTTATTTTATTATATAAAATATTCATTGAGTTAATTAACTGTGCAAATTTACCTTTGAAATCATTAAAGGTATCAATGAACTATTGTCCGCTTAAAATATGTCATCGTCTTTCATTATAACCTCTATAATCTCCTCTACAAGGTTTTAATGGAGAATTGAAAAGAAAACTGAAAAGAAAAAATTGCAACATGTTTAATGAAGTCTTTCATATTTAACAGGATTTCATTTATAAAATATAAAAAGAGTAATTTCCTAGATTAATTAAATAATATTTCAATTTGATTTTAATCGCATGTGTACTACAAACCTAAAGGAATATATGCAAAAGGTCATGAAATGTGTATGCTACATGATAAACATTTCATAACATTTTTAAACACATTTTTAACGCATAAATTAGCTATTTTCTTTAATGTATCCAAAGTTGTTATAAACATACCAAGATCAGGAGTATTCGATGTATTAATATTGGTTGTTGCCATGTAAGTTTTATTGGCCAAAATATTCTCTAGCTTATTGCACGTATTAACTGGTTCAGGCAAAAGTTTGAGTTTTGCTTGTAAAAACATAAAAAAGATCATCAAACGCAGAGAATATTAATTGGAATTAGCAACTTGTTTCCTTGTTCCTTACCGCAAAACATTTTTCCGTATCATTTAAAACTTGTTTATGAGAATCATGTCTAAAGGTTTTAGCCTGATAGAGATCTTATTATAATTCAAGGACGGAAAGTGCTATAAATAACTATAGGCGAATTCTAGTAAGAAACAAGTCGTTTTATTCTGTCTGTTGTTTATATTGCTCTAATCCTAGCTCATTAGAATCATTGTTTTACAAATTAGTTTCACTTAGAAAGTCTTGAAGTGTTCTCTGTAAAAGTACAAATCATGTTGTCTACTTTTACAGACTGGTTTTTAAAACAACCATTTGGCAAATTGTCATGGAATTACATACAATTAGCGTCATACAATTTAAACATAAATTTAATTAACAGAGAAATACAATTTAACTGGTATAGTTTTGCAGAGGATTATACTTTCACGAATGTTTTTTACCCTTATAACGATAACCAAAAATTACGTTTATATATAAAGTTATATATTTTCTTAAAATGGATTAAAATAAGACATTTGATTAAAAGACAAATTGTGCGTAATGAATACTGAACTATGCTATTCTCTTTAAGAGAGTTATAATTAAATGGTAACCAATGAATAATTTGAAATGACACCAGTGACAAAGACATAAGCTGGCATACTTATTGTATTGTAGTATTTGGATTAAGTGAAAATTAAATCTTTATGAAGCTATCTTTCCAATTTTGCTCATTTCTAAGTATCTTAATCTATAATGCAATACATTTATCTGTGTCTAATTGTAAAATACCAATTTTATCGTACATGTTTACTTCTTATTGGCGTCTTTTTTCGTTATCTTTAAAAATGTGTTTTAAAGATCATGTATGTTGAAATTAGGTTGTTACCACACTTAAATGAAATTTTATATATATTATATGTATATAATAATGCTTCTAAAACAATTTTCAAACACCGAAATATATGTAAAATATGAACTGTAAATATGTGTCCACATTATATGAAATCATTAAAATATTTGCATTCATTTCTTACTGAAAAGCTTCACTAATACTGTATAGACTCTAATTACCTCCCTTTATTATCATGAAATGTACGTTTGGTAACATCTTTACAAATATTGATTTTTGGAACTTACAATATTGATAAATCTTCATTTGAGCATTTTGGTTATGATATAAAAACAAGAAGAATAAAGATCAACAAGGCAAAGTTCACAGGACGCTGGACAGAATAAAACCATAAAAAAGTTGAATAACAGGATCTTAAACATTTGAAGATAAAAATATATGGTGCTCTTTAATTATTATAAAAAAAAAACATATATTTCACGTTAACCTGGATGTATACATGTAATTTGCTTTTCATGGCAATTCAAATTAACAATTATAATCAATTTATTCTGATACAGAAAAAAAAGACAATGTTACTTTCTTTTCGAAAAAATAGCCTTGACTGCGTTATAAGTAAAACACAAATTTTGTACATATAATATAACCTTTTTGTGGCTCTATGTGCATGTTATAACTTTATACATTTCATATTTTGTCACTGTCGGTAGTTAATTGATATACGCCAATATATATTATTTCCATAATGATGGTTTAATCAAGATGCGTCTACAACTTATTTTATGTCGTTACATCAAGTTTTGAATTCCAAGTGTCAATAAACAATTTTGTTTTATTTTTGTGGATAAAAGAGATAACACAATAACAATGAAAACATAAGAAGTGAGTGAATTTGAATACTGGGCCTGATTGTATCTATCATTTCTATGTATTCAGATTTTCACAATTATCATGCATATCTATTCAGAATCCTGTAAACTGGAGAATCTTAAAGGTTCGAACGATTATTTGATCACAAAGTCATGATCAGTTTAGAGTAATAAAGTTAATTTATTCTGCTCAAGATTCGCCGAGCTTCATTTAATATTCATAAGTTATAACAATTTTATAAATTGAAAAGAACATTATATATTCAAAAGTGAATAACAAAAAAAGAAACTGTCAATATGTTTTTTGATAATATGTATTAACGAATGACATATGTTTCTCAGAACAAACAATGCAATATATTTATTTGCACTCAAGCTATTTGCAATGAAAACTGAATTGACTAATCTACGTTTGCAAGATGCCATACAGCAAATATTAATTTTATGACACTTTGATTGGGGAAACATTTGCATAATTATTATAATTGTGTATCCCTGCACGCAAAGATAAAAAAAGAACAATTGTATAATTTGTATAAATTTGCTAGTGTCGATTGATACTGTAGTATACTTCTTCCTGGCATAATAACTGACAAACAGCACGACAAATTCCACAGCATACAATCGAAAAAGGTCATACGATATCTTTACATCTTTGCTTCTTATAATATAACGTGGTAAGCCTTTTTTGGTGAGCTTTATAAACAGTTTATTATTGTTCCTTTCGTCAACTGTAATCAAAATGTTATTAATGTTCTTTGTTCTGATTGCATTGAAGTTTTTGTTTAGAGAAAATCGACGTGAAACAGGAGTTTAACATGAATGTTTAGAATATACATAATGAAAAATGTTAAGCTTCGAACAGTAATTAAATCTTAAAAAAAAACAAAAACATTTAGTTAATTTAATCTATGGGAATTAATTATTGATAAGTAACATTATTTCTAATTTCGAACTCATCGTGTTACTTATATTTATATTCAATAAAATAACGTTATAAAAAATAAACAGATGGACACGGCTATATTATGTTATGATTTAAAAACAATATTGATTATACAATCATAGTCCTGAGAATGTAGTTATTGAATGTTCGTTTTTCTTTGAATAATCACTAGAAATCTATTTTAAAGTAAGACTTGAAGTAAAAATTAAGAATCAACACATCGACATTTTTATCAAATTTATCTCCCATTTTAATATGTGTTCTTCCAATAAATGCAAGATAATTATAAAAATGCAAGAGTTGTATGTTTATATAAAAGTAAAGAAATCGTTGTTGAATATAATGTACATTATATTTATACATTTGATTTTAAATTAGTTTTAAAAATACATTTTTCTCTGAAAATAAAACAAAGAAAGAGCAATGTTTTCTTGCAATAATGTGTATGCTGCACATAAAAGGACATATGCCCTTTTACTTTATACTAGTAATCGCCTTTTAAGCAATTATAGAATTGTTTCGAACGTAAATACGATAAGCGTATAACTATTAAATCATTATTGAAACGTAAATATGTTGTTATTTTATTTGAATTAGATTAATACAACAATTTATAGATTCTAATAAAGAGGAAAATTACAGCCATTCACTTCACCTTATGGCAGAATGCAATAATAAACATGCACAGAAAATAAGTACAATGATACTCTAGGGCATAAATTTATGTTCAGTTTAAATAAGTAAATTTTAACAATAGATACTAGTATTACGCAACCGAT